GACATACAATGATAAAGGATGCCTGTCCTCAAGTGGTTTAAAATCTCATTTCTCCTTAAAAATAATTACGTGACCTACTGCAGCTCCTCTTTAACACCCTTGCATTATAACGCCTTACTTAACGACTGCCACAAACAACGTCACCAATCCATTGAGGGGTATTCAGATTAGGTGAAACTTAAAAACTACAATACTCAGTTGTTCTTCCAGGCAGAAGACAATTTTCATTCTTAAATTTTTTCCAAGTTTATTTTTGAGAGGGAGAGAGAGAGAGAGAGAGAGAGTGCACGCACAAGTGGGATAAGGGATAGAGAGAGGGGGAGACACAGAATCTGAAGCAGGCTCCAGGCTCTGAACTGTCCGCACAGAGCCGGACTGGGGACTGGAACCCCAACGGTGAGATCAAGACCTGAGCGGTAGGCTGATGCTTAACCCACTGAGCCACCCAGGGGCCCCCAGAAAACAATTTTCTTCATGAATTTTTACTCCACCTGTCCAATCGTCCATGCATCTTCAACGAGGGCTCCTATGTGAACGCCCTATTATACTACCCCTTCCTTTTTGAGACCCTCTTTGTTATTTTCCCCCATTCCCTCCTGCTCACCCACTGACATTTAGAATGCTACAGTTCACAAAGTTTTTGCACAAAATTCCCTCCCTATGTCCTCCACAAGATTGGCCAGATGGCGCGCTCGGGACAGAAGGCGAGGACGGGTGAGTGTTGATCGCTGCTGCCTAACACAACACCTGTCACCTGACACAAGACCTGACAAGACGGCCAAATACCTGCCCAGTGAATGAACGGATGACCCTTGTTAGAAATGATTATCCTCGTTTCACAGACCGGGAAACGTTATGCTGAGAGCGGGACTTGCTAAGGAGAGGCAAACCGCGCCTCGACATCAACTCCTCGGTGCGTTCAAGCAGTCGTGAATGCTCTGGGTTCAAATCCCTGTCACGCTCCCTGTTCTCAGAGCTGCCTCGCCAAAGGGATCGCCTGGGTTCACGACATCCGTGCTAAACAGTGGGTAAACTTGCGTTGTCGTAGCTGTACTGGTTACGTGGCTACCGCTCCTGGCACCTCGGAGCAGCTCACTTTTACGGAATGTTCACCACGTGCCTGGCACTGTGTCACCTGAGCACTGTGTCACTGCTCCGACTGTCGCAGCAACCCCTCGCGCTCTACTGGGGTATGTAAGGAACCCCGAAGTTGCTCCAAGACTCGGAGCCAGCGAGGAAGCCTCCGCGGTCCGCGCCGCGTGCCACCGCGCCCACGGCCTCCTCCGCTGGACTCCAGCTGCCACCGTCACCCGGTCGCCAGGGAAGCAGGGGGCGCGCCTCGGTTCGCACACCTGCGCTCCCGCGCCCGAGCCCCGCCCCCCTGCGTGGGCACTGTGGGCACACCCCACCTGTGGAGCCGGTGGGTCGCGCTGAAGGAGACGAGGCGGGACAGTCGCGCCCAGCGGCGACCGCCCACACCCGCGCCAGCCGCGCTCATCGCCTTGCCTTCCGGTTCGGTTCGCCGCGGGGCGGGGATAGGCCGAGCGTTCCGCGGCTGCGCAGTGCGGCCGGCGCCCTGGGACGCGCTCTCGGCTCCGCGCTGCGGCTGGCTCCCTCTGCTGGCCCGGAGGCAGTAAAGCGTCCCGTCCTGTCAGTCTCTTGGACCGCAAGAGCGCGGATAAGGTAGGTAAACCTACCAGCAGTCAGAAAACGTGGGTGAGGTCTCAGTGTCTTTCGTTCCAAGGTCTGCTCAGCCTCAGGCCACTTCGGGCCGTGAGGGTCAGCCTGGCCACACTGCATACTGGAAGGACCTCTGTGACATGCTCCTCCCACTCACTTCTAGAAAGCCCTGGCTATAATAACCTCCCCTGGCTGGTTACTCAGAGGTGGGCCTCAAGGCCAACCTACTTATAGCCTAAAGGGAGCGGGAATTTCAGGGCACATGTAGGAGCACTTGACTTTCATAAATGACATTACCTTTGGACTGTTTGTAAAATTCTTCTTACTAAGGGAAATTCTCAAGCTTTCCTTACCATCCACATACATGCATAAAACCATTTATCACAGTGTGAACACATGCAGTCATGAACACACACATTAGCAATTCTCTGTCCTATGTTGACACTTCCGAAGTAAACGGATCATGTTTCCCCACATCTACTTATAAGGAGTATCCACACTACTTAACAGCTCCCAGTATTATGTCACCTCTTGCTTCCATTCATTCCTTTGCTAAATATTTATCGAATATCTAACCATGTGGGTGGCATTGTTCCAGGAAGGAAAGATTAAATCATGAGAGTAACAGGCATACAGGCCCCAAATCGTGATTTCTTTCAAATGTCTCCTGTCTCCAGCTCCATACTCTTGTTCTGCATTATCATGTAGCCAAACATTTTTAGCATGTTTTCAAATATTTTTATTATATCCCCCAGTGGGCTGTAAAAACATCAAAGAATAAACTTCAGATATTTCTGAGATAAACACTCTAGTCCAGTCCTCTCATGGATAAGAAAGCATGGGCCCAGGGGCACCTGGGTGGCTCAGTCAATTAAGTGTCCGACTTCAGCTCAGGTCATGATCTTGCAGTTCACAAGTTCAAGCCCCACATCAGGCTCTGTGCTGACAGCTCAGAGCCTGCAACCTGCTTCAGATTCTGTGTCTCCCTCACTCTCCCCCTCCCCTGCTTGCTTTCTCTCTCTCAAAAATAAACATTAAAAAAAATTAAAGAAAGCATAGGCCCATATAAGTGAATTACTCATACAAGATCACTTACAATAAAACAGTACTTGCCAGGCATTGACCATATGGGAGATAAGCAGTCTAATTAATGGTCAATGGTTACACAAATGCTTGACTCTTTCTGAATGAAGTCTTAGGAATCAAAATACAAAGCAAAAGGAATTTCTGAGAAATTGCTGTACTCAATTACTTAAATAAAATATGGCATTGCATTTGCAGAGCCTTTGCTCTACATTTTTAAATTAAGGGTATTCACCAAATTCACCCTCAGTGATCCTGTTATGGGTTGAATCATGTCCCCCCAAAACTAGTGTGTTGAGCCCCCAGTACCTCAGAACACGACTTTATGTGGAAATGGGTCTTTGCAGATATAATTAGTTAAAACAAAGTCACTAGGCTGGGTTCTAGTCCCTTTCCCCTCCCATATGCGCCTCATACTCCTCTCCTTGAGTCTCGACCCTGGTGAGTGAGGAGTTGGGCTTAGGGAGAGGAAGAGGCCCTAACTAGGCTTTCAGCCTTAGTCATCTGGTCACTCAATTTTATCAGAGTGATATATTTAAATAGATAGATAGAAAGATAGATAGATAGATAGATAGATAGATAGATAGATAGATAGATATAGGCATATTATAGAATGTCACTGTGGAGCGCCTGGGTGGCTCAGTAGGTTGAGCATCTAAGTCGGGCTCTGTGCAGATGGTGCAGAGCCTGCTTGGGATTCTCCCTCTCCTTCTCCCTGCCTCTCCCCACCTTTCAAAATAGCCATTTTAAAAAATAAACAAAATGTCATTGATCCCTTTTTTCTTCTTCTTCAAGAACCTCATAGATGACAGAGCCACGGCAGAATTCAGGCATCCTTGGGTCAAAATCTTATGATTGTACTGATAACCTTTATATTTTTGAACTTCACACCCTGTGATTAGGATGGAGTAAAGATTTATAGAGGAAAGACATGATCAGATTGGCATACTTCCCAGATGTCATCTGGAGTCTCTTCCACCCTTTAGATCCAGATAAGATCTAAAACAATCCTCCTGTCTTTGAGGACTTCTGTGAAATATCAGGGGATTTATGTTCTCTTATGCTTACCTCAGCCTCGAAGCCTCCACGTCTCTGTGAGTTGTTCAGCCATCTTCTTGCCATTCTGGTACCTGCTGCTTTTACTCTGTGCTTCATCAACCCAGACACAAAACTTAGAGCTTTCCCTTTACTGCCACAATGTAAACCTTTACAGGTGGCATTTTTGTGCCTGCGGGAACACTTCACTACAGAGAACAGGGTTTATGATGTTGGCTGTAACTCCTGAGGAAAACTGGGAAGACACTGACTCTGCAGTGAGCTCACGGTTGTCCCAAACTACAAGTCAAGGAGGGTTCTCCGGCAGCATTCAACATGCAGAGGGAGCACTGAAAGTTTAACTGGTCCTGGTTTGGAGTTAAGTGGAGGGAGGAGGTATAACTGAAGGGAAAGGCAAGAAAGGATCTCGAAGGCGTTGGCAAGAGTTGTGGTTATTGGACAGACATAGGAGGCTTCGGGCTGTCAGGGTTTAGACGCATGGAGATTAGACGGCCTCTAGTGCCACCTGTTGCCCAACCAAATGAAGAACTACCCACTCTTCAATTTCTGGAGATGAGAAGAAATGGCTGATCTTAGTGACGTCCCTCAAAACAACACCCTCCCAAGGCTGAGCTGGGGGTGGGGTGGAAGGTGGCAGTCAGTGGCTCAACTGCTGTGGCGTCCGTGGACAGTGGAGAAACGGGTGCTTTGGAAGAAAGCCTCCAAGCATGACGTAGCTGGCTTCCTGTCCTCTGTAAGCTCCTTAGAGCCCATGCTAACAGGCAGGCTGTGATGGAAAAAAACAAGGTGCTTTTTAGAGCTATACTCGTATTTTACAATCTGTGATTATTTGTATTTTTTCTCCCAAGTGTAAGGACCTCTGTCACCACTCTGTCTGATGGTGCTGATGACCCAGCTCTTTTTCTTTCATGTAGTCTTATTACCTAGAGAAAGATGTATCTAGTAAATATAAATTTAAAACTCTCTTCAAAAGGTTGCATCAACACTTGCTTCATGTTTTTAAGGAAGAGCCCTAAGAAAATATAAAACCGTGATTATCTCAAGAATTCTGTTTTGTTTTGTTTTTTTAAAGTTTATTTATTTTGAGAGAGACAGAGAGCTGGGGAGGCGCTGTGGGGGGAGAGAATCCCATGCAGCCTCCACACTCAGCACAGAGGCAAAATAAAGAGTCAGACACTTAATTGAGCCACCCAGGCAGGCCAAGAATTTGTTTTTTAATAGAAATTTTACAACCAGATCTCTACAGTTTGGAAGGTAAGGTGCCTTTTTTGCTCTCTTTTTTTGTACAGAGAATGTTCATTGTAAACTATGTTTCTAGGCCTTGTGAGTTGTTCCATCAGATGGTGACAAAGGTGCCATGGAACCCATAAGGCATTTGCACGGGCACTTCGGCTCGGCCCAGTTCTTCAAAGTTCTTGGCGTCCAAGACTAGTAGAAAATTGTTTTCATTCTAGAAAAGGAAAAACAATACTGGAAATTCTTTTCTTTTTTAATTTTTTAATGTTTTAATTATTTGCTAAGAAGAGAGACACAGAGCATGAGCGGGGGAAGAGCGGAGAGAGAGGGAGACACAGAATTCGAAGCAGGCTCCAGGCTCTGAGCTGTCAGCACACAGCCCGATGCGGGGCTTGAACTCACGAACTGTGAGATCATGACCTGAGTTGAAGTCGGATGCTTAACCAACTGAGCCACCCAGGCGCCCCAGAAATTCTTTTGATCATGTCTTATGCATCTTCCTATCTATCCTCACCACCTAGCGCAGTGCCTTGGCTATCCATTCACTGAATGTTTGCAGAATTGCTGAACCAGCCTGAAAAGGAAATTATGGCAGAAGAAGTTCAGGCCCAGAGTGAAGAAATTAGGTTGTTTATGTCCATTACTTTCACAGAATCTCTCTGACTTTAAGGATCTTTTTACCTGGGCCTTTTTAATCACCGAAGGGATACAGAAATTTTTTTCTTCCAAATTTTCTAAGTTCTATGCCTCCAGTTACTTCGGAACTGTACAAATAACTTTGTCAGCATTACAAGGCTGACTGATACTTGCCCTGGTGTAATTGCAGGAGTGGCAAGTACATGAAATGAGGACAAAGTCCTCTGAAGCCTGTGGCAGATGTTAGTAATTGATCCCAGCACTCTCCTCGTCAAACCCTTAAAAAGTCTCAGAATCCTACACCCCAGGCAGCCACTAATAACTGATCAAAGCTTGTACTCAAAGTGAACCTATCTGCCATAAGACTGCCTTACACAAGAAGTTATGACATCAACATTGTTGAGAACTAGGGCTCACCACATTACACTTTTGGAGCAATGAAATTGGCAGCACAGATGGTGGCATGAACATCCAACTAGACGTCAGAAGACTGAGATTTAAACACTGGCTTTACCACTGTGAGATGTGACGCAAGCTCCTGCAACTTATCTAACTTACAAATTCCATGTGTGTAAAATGGTATGCAAAAAAGGTCTTCTTCTTTTTTTTTTTTTAATTTAAATTCAAGTTAGTTAACATACAGCGTAGTCTTGGTTTCAGGAATAGAACCAGGGATTCATCTCTTACATATGATACCCAGTGCTCATCCTGAAAAGTGCCCTCCTTAATGCTCATCACCCATTTTACCCATACCCTACCCACCTCCCCTCCAGCAACGCTCAGTTTGTTCTCTATATTTAAGATTCTCTTATGGTTTGCCTCCCTCTCTGTTTCAACAAAGTTCTTCTGATGAGTAAATAAGATGATGTGTGTTAAAATTCTTTGTAAATGAATATGCAAAATGTAAATTATGATGACTATATAAATAGAACTTTAAAATAATAATAAAGCACGATTGTGATAAAAGGGTATGTACATAGGAGGAGAGGAAGAAAAGGGAGAAAGTACTGTATTGGAATCAGAATAAACTACTGACAGCATCACTGAATACAATCCTCAAAAGGCTCAGTGCCACTTCTCTTTCTGAATAGTGATGGGGAGATACATTTACCTGCTTGGGGGTGATCACCACAGAGAGAATAACCCCACCATCTTCTTCACTGGTTCCTGGTGCAGGAACAAACACAGGTTCCGAGGGGTAGAAGCCATCTTCTCTCCAAATCTGTAAGACACCCCCCCCCAAAAAAAGTATTTGATAGAAGGCTAGTTATGAGCAAGAAGCCTTCAACAGCTTTTCTCACTCCCAGCATGCACCTGGCTGTCAGCACACTATTCATTCAGTAAAAGAACCAGGCTCACTGAGCTGAACAGAGGGGGGCAGGTGGCTTGCAGCTACAGGCTCCATCATCATCAGACACAATCTGTGCAGTTATAATTTTCCATCGACCTGAACTATGTATCCCAATAGCCTAAACCCCATGATTTCTCTAAAAATAACATCCAACAGAGACTTGTTTTTCTGGGCTTGGGATTCATGTAAGATTCCCCAGAGGCAATATACCCCCAGCCTAGGTGATTCTGTGGTTCTCAAACTGAATAAAAGTAAATGGTTGAGCGGCTTAAATATTAAAGAAGCTCAAGGGGTGCCTGGGTGGCTCATTTGGTTAAGCGTCTGACTCTTCATTTCAGCTCAGGTCATGATCTCACAGTTGGTGAGATCCAGCCCTGCAGCGGGCTCTGCCCTGACAGCTTGGCACCTGCTTGGGATTCTCTCTCTACCTCTCCCCAACACATGCAAGCACTCTCACTCACTCTCTCTCTCATCCTCTTTCTCTCTGTCTCTCAAAATAAATAAATAAAACATTAAAAAGAAAAACCTTTAAAAAAAAGTCACTCCTTCCTTTAAAAAAAAGAAAAAGAAATTCAAGAGCTACTTTAACAAAACAGAAACTAATTCAAAAAAGTGGTCTTTTAAGGGTGCCCTTTAAAAGGGCAAAAGTGGTCTTTTAAGAGTTCAGAAAGGGAAAAAGATTTTCATTACCATCAGTGTTTTGTTTACCACGTCCACCTTGATCAGAGAATCCCCCACCAAATGCCGAAAGCCACAGCCATAGAAGAAACGATACTTTCTGCCACTGAATTGGCCATAGTTGATCTGGGGAAATTCAATACCTCCTTCATCCTCTAGACCCTCAGGATGTAGATTTTCATAGGAGCACCAAATCTAAAAGAGATCCCAAGAGGATTTGCAGTCATTGCTTACTTTCTCACCTATTTTATGCAGTATAGGTCAGTGAGGGGGCTAAGAGTTTGCAACAGGGCTTGGAAACTGAGACTCTAGGTCATCTTTTCCATTATTCCTCTTTCCATCACGTGTATGAATACGTGAAAGATCATCGGGTTTTGTGACGAAGCTGTCAAATGGCATGCAGGGTGGCAGTGACCTTCTTATTCTACCAAAGCTAAGATATTAATAGCTACATAACGACATGCTGTGCTAAGCACAAGCTTTCCAGAAGGTGGAGATGATCAATACCAATCTAATACTTAGCTGTTCCACAACCATTAGAAGATTGACATATCTGTTTCAAAACACAAAAAGGATAGGTAAACACAGCGCTCACTCCCACTCAGAATCCTGCAGCTCTTGTGCAAGCGACTGTCATGACCTTACCCTGCTAGGCTGAATGATATCAGACTTATTAGGCAACAAAGATTGAGGGAAACAGCCAATGAATAGAGTACCACGATTAAAATTCAAAGTCTTAGTCTAGTGTCCTTTGAAAGCATACCTTTCCATCAGCCTGTTTCACAGCACTGGCTGAAGAATAGGACAATGGGCTGAGGTTCTGTCCCTCGGGGTCATTCAAACTGACATGCAAGGGCAACACAAACCTTCGAGGGAAAGATCTGCCTACTGAATTATAGACCTGTTCAGGAAAAAGAAAGAGATGAGAAAATGTCATTCATAGGATAACAGCATGTCCCAATAATTTATATCCAGTCAAACATTCCTAAGTAATCGCATAAACGATCATTTTCATTCATTCATTTATTCCACAAACATCTGTTCAGTACCTCTAGGCAAAGCACTATTTTAGACACTGGGGATGCAACAGTGAACCGAGTCTCTGGACCTCAAGGAACTCACACTCTAGCGGGAAAAGAATGATAATAAGAATTAAAATGTATGTTATTGGATTAGTGTCAAATACACAAATGAGGTCTTGATAGTGATAACTGCCATTAAGAAACATCCTGCAGGGTGAGAGAGTAGAGAGTAACAGGGGTGCTTCCTTTTTCATGTCTGGTCAAAATAGGCCTCTGCATATTAAAGCATTAACTTAGTAGGCCTGGGTTGCTCAAAGCTAGCACATTCTCAAGAAAGGTCCATTTTCATGGCTGGTCCTTAGCTGGCACCTGAGAACTGAGCTGTGGGAATATTATGTCTGACAAGACTGGGTTCGCATTCCTGAGGTCTTGAGCCACACTGCACTACTTTACCCAGACAGTTTATGCAAACAATGCAATTTATAATGAACATTTGCTTCTCTGTGGGCATATGGAGCTTTGCTTAACTGAGGTTGGGTAGGGGCTATATGCCTATGTGCTGATACCCAACAAAAACTCTTGATGATCAATCTGGGGGAGCTTCCCTGGCATGCAACATTCCATACATGTTGTCACAAGTTGCTAGAAGAATCAGGTGTGTCCTGGGTGACTCCACTGGAAGAAGACTTGGAAGTGTGCACCTGGTGGTCTCCTCCAGTCTTCATCCCACGCACCTTTCCATTTGCTGACTTTTCTGAGATCTGTGAGCCCTCCTACTGAATCACCAAACCAAGAGTGAGGATCCCCAACACAACCTCCTTGCAGAGATCATGTTGAAGCAGGAGGCCCTGAAAAATAAGTATATTTTTTCTGACAATAAGAGTGCTTTAAGCATATTTTCCTTTCTTGAAATACTGTAAGAGGGACACCTGGGTGGTTCAGTCGGTTAAGGGTCTGACTCTTGGTTTTTGGCTCAGGTCATGATCTCACCATTCATGGATTTGAGCCCTGCGTTGGGCTCTGTCCTGTCAACAAAGGGCCTTCTTGGGATTCTCTCTCTCTCTCTCTCTCTCTCTCTCTAAAAAATAATCAAATGCAAAAAGAAAAACAAAAAAAACTACTGTAAGATGGAGAAGAAAATGTGCTATTTCCCCTCATATACCTGGATCCACATTATCTCCATCTCACACAGAAATGTTTTTACTGAAAAAAGATTCAGTGCTATTTTTAAGCTTCATACAGAGTTAGATTTTTTTTAAGAGTTAGATGTTTTAAGTTACTTTTAAATTTATGTAAACATTTTTTTTTCCTTCAGCAAAGCCATAGCTGAACAAAAAGACACTTCCAATAATGGTGGCTTATTATTAAAAAAGTAAAGTGGACCAACTATCCCACTGAAAACAGTTTAAAGAAGCTAGACAAAATGCTTAGAATAGGTGTTTGAACTCAGGAAACAACAGATGTTGGTGAGGATGTGGAGAAATGGGAACTCTCTTGCACTGCTGATGGGAATGCAAACTGGTTCAGCTGCTCTGGAAAAGAGTGTGAAGGTTCCTCAAAAAATTAAAAATAGGGGCGCCTGGGTGGCGCAGTCGGTTAAGCGTCCGACTTCAGCCAGGTCACGATCTCGCGGTCCGCGAGTTCGAGCCCCGCGTCAGGCTCTGGGCTGATGGCTCAGAGCCTGGAGCCTGTTTCCCATTCTGTGTCTCCCTCTCTCTCTGCCCCTCCCCCGTTCATGCTCTGTCTCTCTCTGTCCCAAAAATAAATAAACGTTGAAAAAAAAAATTTTTTTTTTAAAATTAAAAATTAAATTGCCCTACGACCCAGCAACAGCACTACTAGGAATTTATGCAAAGGATACAGGGGTGCTGATTCATAGGGGCGCATGTACCCCAATGTTTATAGCAGCACTTTCAACAATAGCCAAATTAGGGAAAGAGCTCAAATGTCCATCAACTGACAAATGGATAAAGAAGATGTGGTTTATATATACAATGGAATACTACTCGGCAATGAGAAAGAATGAAACCTTGCCATTTGCAACAACATGGATGGAACTGGAGGGTATTACGGTAAGTGAAATAAATCAGTCAGAAAAAGACAGATATTATGTTTTCACTCATATGTGGAACTTGAGAAACTTAACAGAAGACCATGGGGGAAAGGAAGGGGAAAAAAAAAGTTACAGAGAGGGAGGCAAACCATAAGAGACTCTTAAATACAGAGAACAAACTGAGGGCTGATGGGAGGGTCAGTGGGGAGGGGAAAATGGGTAGTGGGCATTGAGGAGGGCATTTGTTGGGATGAGCACTGGGTGTTGTATGTAAGCGATGAATCATGGGAATCTACTCCTGAAGCCAAGAGCATACTGTATATGCTGTATTTTAGCTAACTTGACAATAAATTATGTTTAAAAAATGCTTTATAATCCCCCCCAAATAAAAATAAAATAAAATATCTTTTTGAAGGCATTGGTGAGCTAAAAAGGCAGTGACAAACAACAGGGCAGAGATTTGGAGGGAGACGGAAACCTAGAGGTAAACAAGATACAGGGGCGGCCAGGCAACTTGTCCCCTAAGGATATCAACTGCTTCCAGAAAAAGGCAGCTGAAAGGCTGAGAAAATAAAACAACTTTTTATTAAACTTTTTTTTATCTTGAGATCATTGCAGGTTCACATGAAATAATACAGAAAAATAAACAATTGATTAAAAAATGGGCAAAAAACTAAAATAACATTTTGACGGGGCGCCTGGGTGGCGCAGTCGGTTAAGCGTCCGACTTCAGCCAGGTTACGATCTCACGGTCCGTGAGTTCGAGCCCCGCGTCGGGCTCTGGGCTGATGGCTCAGAGCCTGGAGCCTGTTTCCGATTCTGTGTCTCCCTCTCTCTCTGCCCCTCGCCCGTTCATGCTCTGTCTCTCTCTGTCCCAAAAATAAATAAACGTTGAAAAAAAAATAAAATAAAATAAAATAAAATAAAATAAAATAAAATAACATTTTGCCAAAAATATACAAATGGCCAATAAGTACATGAAAAGATGCTCAGCATCATTCATTAGTCATTAGGGAAATGCAAATCAAAATTACAATGAGATATTACTTCATACCCACTAGGGTGGTTACTATAAAAAAAAATCAAAACAAGAAAATAAAAGTGCTTTGAAAAGGTGAAGGAATCGGACCCCTGTGCACCGCCGGTGGGAATGTTAAATGGTGCAGCTGTTGTAGAAAACATTCTGGCAGTTCTTCAGTTAGTGATACAATTATCACAGGATCCAGCAATTCTATTTCTAGTTATATACAAAAAGAACTTAAAACAGGGACGCAAATGTATACTTGTGTGCCGATGTTCATAACAGCACTATTCACAATAGCCAAAAGGTGAAAACAACCCAAATGTTCCCCAACAAATGAACAGATAAACGAAATGCAGTACAGACATACAAGGATATTTAACCTTTAACAGGAATGAGATTCTGATACATGTTACAACATGGATGACCCTCAAAAAGGTTATGCTAAATAAAATAAGCCAAACACAAAAAAATAAATCTTGTCTGATTCCACTTATATGAGGTACCTAGAATAGGCAAATGCATAGAAACAGAAAGCAGAATAGAGGCTACCAAAGGCTGGAGAGAGAGGATAATAGGGACCTGTTATTTAATGGGTAGAGTTTCCACTTGGAATGATAAAAAGTGTGGAAATGGGCAGTAATTATGGTTGCACAACACTGTTAATGTACTTAATGCTACTGAACTGAATACCTAAAGATGGTTAAAATGTAAGTTTTATGTTATGTATATTTTATCACATAAAAAACAAAATAATACAGAGAGATCATATGTATCCTTCATCCAGTTTCACCAATGACAGTGTCTTGCATAACTGCAGTACAATATCACAACTGGAAAATTTACACTTATATAATCCACCAACTTTTTTCAGATTGTGTGTGTGTGTGTGTGTGTGTCTGTGTGTGTGTGTGTGTCTGTGTATTTAGTTCCATGCAGTTTTCTCATGTGTAAATTCATGTGATCACCATCACACTCAAGATATAAAATCACCACAAGGATCCTTCATGCTACCTTTTTATAAATATATGGCTACACCAACTCCCCTAACACTTGACCCCAGTGAATAGATTTTGATATTTTCAAGGAATCAAAGGGATAAAAGCTGGAGTTCAAGGACTGCCAAAAAGGAGAAGCCCTGATAGACCCCCAGCTCTTTGGATCAAAACCCCTTCGTTCAGCACCTAGGAGTAAGAATGAACAAGAAGTAGTCCAGCTCTTTCAGGAACTGTACCCTGCTTCAAAATATCCCAAGCCCTAGAACTAGATTAAGAATATCTGGAATTGGGGCGCCTGGGTGGCTCAGTCAGTTGAGCGTCCGACTTCAGCTCAGGTCATGATCTCACAGTTTGTGAGTTCGAGCCCCGCATCAGGTTCTGTGCTGACCACTTGCTTGCTCAGAGCCTGGAGCCTGCTTCAGATTCTGTGTCTCCTTCTCTCTCTGCCCCTCCCCCGCTCACGCTTTGTCTCACTCTGTTTCTCAAAAATAAATCAATGTAAAAAAAAAAAAAAAAAAGAATATCTGGAATTGATCATGTACCCAAGCAATCAGCCAAAAGTAAATAAAATTTTCTCTGGAGGAACGTAGTATCAGCCTGGGTCTCAAAATATCGCTACAATTTTTCAAACACAATATTCTGTATACAATAAAAATTAGCCAGTACATGAGAAGACAAGAGCATGTTTAAAAAAACAAAACAAAACAAGATAACAACAGAACCAGAGCCACAAGGGATCGAGATAATAGAAGCTACCAGACTCTAAGTTTCTGAATATGGTGGAGGAAATTCTTTTAAACTGAGAAT